AACTTCTTGAAAGTGAACGTAAACATGACCTTTATATAATAAATAGAAAATTTCAAATTTTTATATTTGGATAGATTGCTGTTTATTATTGATTCAAAAATAAGAATATTCTTAATTATGGATTTACGATAATAAAAACTATATACCTTAACTTATTACTAAATCCATCTATAAATTTTAAATAATAACCATAAAGCACTAACCTTATTTATATTAATACCGCAAACCTCCTGTGCATGAGTTTTAATAAAATTACCATTATAATTTCTTGCAACATTAATGATACGATAAAGACAATCTAAATAAATTTCTGGGCTTATACGTAAAATATTACATATCTCTTTTTCACAAATATGAAGATTATTATAAAAAGGATAGTTCGAATAATCCTTCATTTTACCTAATCGCCAAGTTACATCTACCTTTGGCATAATAATTTTTTAATAATCCAAATTTAAAGATTTAACCAATAAAATTAAATCAGATTGAGGATTGATTAATAATTCATTTGATAAATTATCTGATTCGGTATAATTCTCAAAAATGACTTGTTTCAAAAGTTGTGAATTTTTTATATAATTATCATAGATAGAAAATCTCATAATAACACCAGTACCATCATTTCTTGTGTATATGTATGCGTTGATTTACGTTTAGAATGATAATTCATCGTGTTTACCAAAAAATATATATATCATTGTTGTATTTATATCAATTCAACTGTACTATTTATAGAAATAAATTCAGATAACCTTATAAGGCTATCTAATAATAAATTGATTATCGATACAGTAATTTTAATTAATTATGTAATTTATGTAATATAAATTGAATAACCATATATGGATAACATTAAAGATTCGAATAATAACCAGTAGTATGTAATGCATCAAGAAATCCTTTTCACAAATTATCTTCATTCCTATGTCACCAAATAAACTCTAATAGATGATTATCAATAAGACTTTTGTTACGATTTCTAGGTTGAACATTCAATTTAATACCACCCCAAGTACCTTCAATAGTATTTGTATGTGCTCCTGTCTCAGGATCCACAAAACATTCATTATGATTTACAGTCATGTAAGTAACCCCCAATTCTTCAAGATCCTTATATCCTCTCCAACAATCGGTCATTATTATAGATCCCGGTTTAACATATCTCACAATAATATCTCTAATAGTATCGACATCACTCTTTTCCACAACTCTCAAAAACATCTTTCTTTTATCATTACGTTCAATACCCCCAATTACCCATGCACCATCAACCAACCGATCTTTATGATACTTTCGAACACCAAATTTTGACTCATCTATCTCTACAATCACGTTTTTATCACCGATAGCACTCTTCTCATCTTCAAGTGTACTAACCATCAATTCACGAAACAATTGCATATATCTTATGATTGTACCTGATGAATGATCAGTAATTTTCAAAATAATTGTATGATTGGCTCCACATAACCAATAATAACCAATAAACATTGCATTCGAACAACTAATACGACCACCTGAAAAAAATGAATCTTTGTATATTGATACAGATCCACGACACTCATGATCATTACATCTAAACCATTTTCTATCTAAATGAACTACAGAACCACATTTCAAACAAGATTGAACCTTGTATAAAATATTTTCTTTGAATAAAAATCCAATACATTTATTTTCGTTATATAAAATTTCTGATATGATTGTTAAGATTGGGATTGACATTTTTTAAATATCGAAAAAATGCATGGTCACATCCCTTACATTTATAGATCTTTTCTTAGATTACGTGTATCAATCATGGTTCTACAACCACATGGACGTCGATACTTTGTATAATAATTCAGAACTTTTGCCTCACAATGAAGCATCATAATTACAAAAATTACAAAAATAATAATTGATCGTATTTTTTTTATTGAGAGAAGAAAATAAAACATGTCTATTTATACAGAAATAAGAACCCCGTTTAACAATTGTTAAATTATATGTATCAATCTCGATACCCTAGCCACTGAAGCAAAAACTATGATAAAAATTGAAAAATTTTCAGAGATAATCCTCTTGTTATCCTCAGGTACATGTTCAACGAATCGATTGGAATATATATCAATCAATTTGCTAACTTCGATAACCAATTTCTCGATTTCCTTATCCGTTGGTTTCTTTTTAAATCTCTTAAACACCACAGAATTGCTAAATGACATATCAATACCAAGATTTTTTTCCACGTCTTTTTTGAATTGAAGAGGATTCGTTTCAAAATGCCATACAATATGATCTACTATATCTTTAGGTAAAAAATCTTTTTCACAAGGTATGTAACTAATATAACTAACTTCCGATTTACTATTAAACTTGAACTCATTTGTATCTTCTATAGATGCAGGTAATAACGGTAATAAATCTTTGTTTAAACTCTCTTCATTATTATTATTATCATCATTGTAATCATTGTAACCATTATCGTGATCGTTATCACCATTTTTAATATTAATAGTATGATCACTATTATTATTATTGTTGTCATCTCCATTATTCCTGTTCAGATCTTGGTCTATATGAAAATGTCTGTTAAAAAATTAATCAACAAATTCAAAAAAAAAACGTATATCATTAATTCTCACTTTTTATTCTCAGTAATATCATCATCACCATCATCATAATTATCTCTGTTTCTTTTGAGCGAATCAATATCATCTCTTATACTTTTAACCATTGTATACATAGCATTCATCGTGGATGCTATAGCTTGAGGATTTGTACTATTTAAATCAATATATTTAGTCGCAGTAATAGTCTCTAATACTATGCCGGGTGGACCTCTCAAGTAACTATCAGTATCACGTTCATGACCAATAGAATACCTTTGAATTTCATCTGAATAATTTTTGTATCTCAAAATTCTATACATTTTATCGAGATCATTGACTTGAATATAATAATAAAATCCGGTGTTAAATCTAATATATCGATTTCCTTGAGCCATACTGGTTTGAGTTATACACTATTCTTTATCAATATTCTATAAATCACAGATATATATTTTTTGATCGCAATCCATGCATGGAATCTCATGAATCTTATCATACACCACAAAATAATTTTTTCTTATCGGACTATATACTAAATTATTCAAATCTTCAAATACTGTATCAGCAACTGGTCATCTATTCTCCTCTACATTAGAAGTTGGAAGCTCACAAGTCATAGATACATTAATTATCAAAGTTCTGACATGAAAGGTTGTCTTGATTGGATTAATTTTTATCTTATCATTCTTCTCCCCACCCTGATTGACTGACAAAAGAAGTGCAATTTGACTCGAACCAGTATCATTTCTATTTCCATATATCCTGACTCTCCAAAGGAAATAAAAATCTAATACGAACTTATTACATGTATTATTGTTTACTAGCATATCTTGAAATAACATATTCGAAATATAATACATTGAAGGCCAATATAAAAATGTCGATTTCTTTTCAGTGCTAAGTGACATATTATTAACATCTCGTTGATCAAACACCTTTTGAATCACTGAATTATATTTTCTTTGACTTTCTACTTTTGGTCTCACCTCGCAATATTTCTCTAATTCAGATAACTCTGGAAAAATTGATGGACAAAAACTAGGTTGAGGTTATTGACGAGCCATTGTTCACAGTATGCGTATTAGTATTCGTTGGTTAGAAACAACAAGAACAATTCGAAAGACAAGAACCCTTTTTTCCAGGAAAACAACAAATACAGCTATAATTACACTTAATTTCAACCCTAGCAATAGTCGTATTAGTCAGATCCGATGAAATCTTTTTCTTTCTAGTCACACTTGCTTTTTTTGTAATAGATTTAGTAGGTTTCTTCAATGATTTATCCTATTTCTTTATATCCTATTTCTTCGAAGCATCTTGTTTCTTCGGTCGACCACAAGAACTCTTAGTTGACACCAAATTGTATTAAACCCTCAATATGATTGATCAATGATGTAAAAATTTTTTTTGCAAATAATGTCAACACCTGTTGGATATGTTGAATAGAAATAAGACCTTTACCAATTTGTGAAGCATATATTATAACAATGAATAGTAAAAAACAACACTTGAACATAAAAGTATAATCAATAAATCAAGGATATGACCTCGGTCCATTTATTTTTTTTTAAAAACATCACGAACCAACTCTATATTTATACATTTTTTAAAAACTACACCATAGAAGACGCATCCTTACTAATACGAACTATTCTTTCTATCTTTGACCTCAAGGTCTCATCAATCGAATAACTTTCTCCAAAATTTGTTAATATCTCATTAACCTTTTTATCGATAAAATTAATTTCCCCCGTAAACCACGAATCATTGATGTAATACGAATTACCTCGGAAGATTTGATAGCTTTTACCTTTGCACTCACTTTAACAATCTTTCCCATCTTGGTCTCAAACGTATCTTCCGTTTCTATCTTGACACCGAGATTATTTAATATATTATTTGCTTGTTTTTCTGCCACAACAATCCTTGGATTATTATTTGTTAGCGCAGTATTCTCAGTTCTCAACTTTGCAATTAAAGCATTAATACGATTAACTTCTGTTGATATCGAGGTTGACATATTTTCTGAACATTATAAAATATCATATCTATATATACCTGAAAATTGTTTATGATTGTTCCACTCCTCGACTGCCATCTTGAAAGATCAGTACGACCTATATCAGGATTAATAGATGCTATCTTATGCATCTCAGTGCTCAAAAATTCATTATATTCTGTTTTTGCATGTTTTCTTTTTGGTCTTTTGATAATCTCATCTTTATCCGATGAATTAATAGTACAATGTAACTTGCATAAATCATTATACTTCATCAATTCATCCACAAACTTTTTTTTCTTTTTAGGATCATTGTACATCATATGAACAATATCAAGATTAATAATTATGGTCTCCATCTTTATTGAACCCAAATAAAATACATGATCTATTTATATCATTTTGGAAATAGAACATCATAGGTGACCTTGAGAAATATGGAGGTAAACATAAACACCTCATGAAAAAATGTAAATGATAAAATTGCAATGAATCTTATGATAATAATAATTTCTCGTAAATGATGTAGAATAAGAAGATTCACAATAACATAGACCCACGTATTGGAAGTATTGTCAATAAATACGATGAAAATAACATAAAAAATCCAAAAAATATTATTGATACTAAAAATTCGCATATTGAATATTCGTTGATCGGCATACATCTACAAAAGACCGAAGAAAACAAATTGAGATGAAACATATGATATAGACCTTGTAAAGAACCTATAATTGAATATGTTAATAAAATATAACAATTTATCATCGATAA